TATATATATATGCATGTGTGTGTATTTCTGGTACGTACCATGCATGTATAAGCAGGTGCATACAGTACATCTGCTAATATATTTCTCCCTTTTTTTGTACCAAGTGTTTAAGGCTAACGTGTAAACGCAGATGCTAATTCCCAACAATATTTAGCTGCAAAGACAAAGCTGTTTTCTGGGACACAAAACACAGGCACCATCAGCCAGGTCGCTGGGCCCCTTCAGCCAGGGCAGAGGGCTAGTTTCTCAGCCGCGGGGAGGCTTCCCCGGGTGTGAAATCTTCCAGGGATGCGGCTTAAACCACATTAGAACTTTTTGTATTTCTCTACTCCTAAAATCATTTATAAAATACCTGTAACACCTATTCTATTTCTATGGTTGCAAAACCACTTTTGTAAAGTAGGGTACTGTATGTATGTAGTACATGTGTATGTACTACATGTGTACTGTATGTTTAAAAGCATTACACAGCCACCAAGATTTGACACCATAATAATAGGATTTTAAAAGCATGATGTTTGCATTAATGGTATAAAGTCCTGACACTGCAGTTTAAATAGGTTAACGTTCTGCACTTGAGAAAACAATGCAGTAACGAGACAGTTGGGGTCTTTGTTCTGAAACATAGGTGTAACTACTTCACAGACATATATAAAATACATTTAATGATAAATACTTGAGTACATTTTTAGGTATCAGGTTAAAAAACATAAAATAAACAACACCACCGTTTGGTCTGGTAGAGTATAAAACATGAAGTTTAATACCTGGGTTGCCAAACAAACTGGATTCAAATTTTTATGTGATTAAGCACAGGGTAGCTGTGGATCAATCATGACCAATCGTGATTAATCATGATTGTAACTGAGTAAGATTCATTTAGACAAACTAAACAAAATTTCCAAATAAGACAAAAACAAAATTCTGTATATTGCTGGAACGGTGGATGTATGTTTTACATTGATACGAATTGTGTGGAAATATTAGATAAACAAATTTTTTTTCATTTTTGTGTTCATATATTTATATATGTCATATGTGTTTGGCATGTTTGTTTCAGAGCCATTCCATCCGTGTTTTATCAAGCTGAGACATTGGATAAACTTAGCTAAAATCTCTGTAAATATATAAAATATATGTAAATATATATTTATAATATATCATAAACATATAAATAAAAAAAATATAAATATAATAACAAATTCAAACAGTATTAATAAAATAAATATGATATATTAATATAAATCTTTATAAAAATATATAACAAAAAATAAAAAATAAAAACAACGCAGGAAAGTGTTACATTAAAGTTAGTTTAATGTAGAAGGAAGTTAGTTGAAGACCAGAGGACTGCAGCTGGAACACACAGATGCATGCAAACATTTAAGCTTCATTAGTTCTGACAGGAAAACACACACACACACACATTCACACACATTCACACACTGTCCCATATGTAAATCTGCTGTATGTGTTTTATCTATTTATAGTGACGGGGCAGCGAGGGACGAGTGAGCAGCAGATATAGATTAAAACTGACTCCTTCTCTCCCGTTCTCCCTCTCCCCGGGGGTCCACACCGCTACCATGGCAATGAGAAGCTGCCTGGTAACCATGTGACCCCTCACAATACCTTCCTCGACCCCCTCCCATCCTTGACTCCATCTTTCTCCATTTACCCCCGACTCCCACCCCCCTCTGACATCACACTGAGTTCTGACTCTCGTCCACCCGGGTGTACAAAACTGATAGAAGAGAGAGAGAGAGAGAGAAGGATGAGGACAGAGGACGCCGCAGCTGCAGCAGCTTGTAGTAACCCGAGTACTTTCATCTGTACGTCTGTAGTAGTGAGCGGTACTTGTACCTGGTCAGGTTTTTAGTGGTTCATCGGTCGGGATTAACCCCAGACCACGTCCAGGACCTGAGGAGGACTTCCTGTTACTTTTTGTCATAGCAGTTTTCCGGACATTTGACTGGAGAAAGCTAAAATGTGACGACATCATGTAGGTTGAAGTACTTGAGTCTAGTTGCTTGGTCTTAATAGAGCAGTTTCAACCTCACAGCTTTGCAGACGTCCTACAAAAGTGTCTTCAACGCTGATTTTTTTCTGCACATCTTCAAGTGTGCGATACAGGAACCACAGGGTTTAAGGTCCGTCCAAGTCTCGGAAAAGTTCTAGATTAAGCCTGAATCCACATCTGATCCATAGTCCCTCTGGTCTAACTTGGTGGACCTGACTTGTCCAATTAGTTCACCATGTTCTGGAAGAACACGGCGTGGGCCTGGGAGAATGCCGCGGGTAACGATGATGATGACGGTGGTTATCTGCTTGCAGCCGACCTCAGGAGGACGCCAGACTCCACTCCAGACGCTGATCTGAACTGCATCATCACCAACACAACCGTTGCCGCAACCAACCTATCTAACTGCAACACCGCCACCGCCGCCATCACCACCACCACCACCACCACTGGACTCAAAGACCTGACCAACCACAACCCGACCGCCAGCAGCAGTCGTCCGAACGGCCGCAACCTTGCGAACTCCAACAGCAGCTCGGCTCCGACCAAACCCAACTACGGCAACTACGTCTCTCCTCTCTTCACCAATGACAACCAGAAGTTCGCCAGGTCCCAAGACAACAACATCATCAGTATCCAACGCCTGACGGTGAGTCTGAAAATTTCTGCCCTTTCGCACTTTTAAAGGTTTAAGTAATTGGCAAACTTCAGTGGTGCCACAGAAGGCTCACAAAAAAAAACTCAACTCCATCGCCAGGGTCAAAGGTCGAGGTCCCGACATTAAAAAGAGTCAGCCTTATTGGTCATTATACATATACAGACCCTGGGGAGCACTAGGAACTCTCAGGAACTTGCTTAACAGCCAGGGCAGGATTTGAACATGCAAACCTCCGGTAATGAGCCTGATCCTCTCAAGTCAAGGTTTTAAAAAGTTTAAGTTTAGTAAACTTAAACTTTAAGTAAAAGTTTAGTTTTAAAAATATATTTTTTAAAAGAATTTTTTTTTTTAAATCTACGTGTCCTCTCTTTAGGTCTAAAATGTTTTTTTTTAGTGTTTTTTTTCCACCAGAGATATCCTTCTCCAACCTGCTTCTTTGTCTGATTTAAGGACTCACTCCAGATTCACTTTAAATGTTCTTCCTGTTTTGGAAAAAACAAAGACCGAAAATTTCTGTAATGATTTAAAACTTTGAATAGTTTTTAAGTCAAGTTTGGTTAAAAACACGACGTTGAACCACATTTCAAAATGTTTGCGAAGCCTGTGGACAGAGAAACGTAGAGTACAACAGGATTTAAATCTGAAGATCCTAGAATAGGACAGAGGTTTTAAATGCAGAGGAGTGAATTTGTTTGCATGAATATCTGTCGATATATGTACACTGACCAATAAATTATATTATAGTATAGTATATTTCTGTTCTACTTCTCCTAAAAATACATTAGACATTTTAACTGTCACTATACATGTGGTGTATAGATGTGTTTATATATATGGATATATATTTCTATATCCATATATGTATAAATATATTTACATATCCATATATGGGTTTATATATGTATATATTTATATATATGTTTATAAATATATTTATATGTCCATATATGTGTTTATACAGTATATGTATAAATATACTTATATATATCCATACATATGTTTATATAGGTATACATATATTTATATATAAATGTGTGTTTAGATATTGATATATATTTATATATCCATATATGTATAAATATAGTTATATATCCATAATATGTGTTTATATATGTATATATTTATATATCTATATGTATAAATATATGTATATACACGTATGTGTTTATATATGTGTATATATACTTATATATGTCACATATGTTTGTTTCAGAGCCATTCCATCCATGTTTTATTAAGCTGAGACATTGGATAAACTTAACTAAAGTATATCAATATAGGAATATAAGATGAATTCCACACTTATTATATTGTATTTAAAAATACAACAACTCCGTACTGTGTCAAAGGCAGTAAGAAACAGATGTGTTCCTCACCGTGACCTCTCCCGTCTCTGTCGCCTCTGATGGATTTTCAATCAATACCAATATATAATTGATTCTAGCTCAGGATTGGTCGTATTATATTAAGACTAAATCACTTCATCTTTATTTTCATCTCCTTTTTTTCACCAAATCCACTCTGTGTACTGACCAGGAAAGAGCTCATTCCACTCTGTTTGTATCTGAGTGCCTGTCTTTAAAAACTCATCAATGATTCACAGTTGATGAATTATACAGCGCAGCTACTTTGGCTATTAACACGATGACAAGGGCAGTGACACACATTCATGTTTGTTCTGCTGGATTTGTGAGTCCTGGATTCCTTTGCCCCTTGAGTACCTACATGGACCATGTCTGCACCCTCCACCCCCAGCCTGTCTGAAATAGAAAATATATGTGACTTCATATGGGCCAGTGGTACTTCCTGTCATGCTTAAGTCCCAGTTGTAGTATTTCATTTTTTATTTTTTAATGGTGGGCTGTGATCTGGTGGACTCAAACCTGTGACCCTCCGGACACAAGTTTGCTTCCTTAACCACCAGACTACCACAATTTTGTACTTTGTGAGACTTTGTTTCATTTTTTTAAGTATCTTTGTGGATGAACAGAGAGACAGACAAATAACAGCAGATAGAGGTCAGTGTTTCTCACCCATTTCATTTGTGACCAATCCAAATGATTGAATTGTGAATATGGAGAAATATTTTTAAAAAATATTAAAATATAACTCATATTCAATGTATCTTCATACACTTTTTTTGATGATTTGTAATGATTTTGCGCATCATTACTGTTCATCCTGACGGTGTCACGGTTTCCCAAAGACGGAGTCGTGACCCTCAGGTGGGTCGCAAGAGATTTTTTTTGGGTCGTCTTGTATCAAGTTTTCCAGGAGATTACGAATAATGTCTATTAACTTGGGTCGCAAGGGTTTGTGACTTTTAAAATATGGGCCTCTGGAAAAAAAACGTTTGGGAAACACTGACGTAGAACTTCTGTATAGTATTAAAATTAAGACTACAGTCCTGAAAACAATCCATCCAATAACTATGTCCGTCAGCTGGTCACATGACTGTAGTCCAAGTCACAAACGTGCTGGGTGTTTGGATGGTATTTTAAGCACAAAAAAGTTTCCCCACAGTGTGTTTAAATGACCACATGTATTTACTGTGTATTAGAGCAATAATAAATGGATGTCGGAGTTAATGGATTTTGAAAGCGTTACTTCAACATTTTCTTTGTGCTCTAGTTATTTTGGAGGTAGATTGGACAGAGTGGTGTCCAGTGTCCTCTGTCCACTCAGCAGCTAATTCATCCTAAAGGTCAAAGATCAGCTTCTCAGGACAGATCGTTATTAAATCAGTCCAGAATTCCAGTAGTCGTTTCCTAGAGCTTGAGAGTATTAGTCACTATGAACAAAAAAAAACAAAAAAACTGCCATTTGATCACATGGAGGAGGGAGGGGAGAGTCGGGGGGTGGGGGGGTTGTACCTCTGTGTGTGTGTGTGTGTGTGTACGTCCATGTATGTGTTCAGGAAGAGTGTGTCTTATCGCAGGGATCCATGCAGTGTTTTGGTGCGTTTGTGTGTGTGTGTGTTTCCTGCTATTCTTTACACAGTCGGTTCTCACACACACACACGCTGCTTCGACAACAACATCAGTAAAAAAGTTCACACACTCCAGTTGGACCGAGGTCTGACCAGGACTCCGTCCAAACTGCAGACCTCGACTTAGATGTCATTTCTCGCTTTTTCGCTTTAAGCATTAATTATTATTTTTTTACCAGGTTCTCGGTCCACGGCTAGAGTCAGAGTGGATGTTTGGATGAAAACAGGCCTCAGTCTTAAATCCTATAGCAGTATGTGTCAATATAGACCTGGTCTGAATCTATGGATCTTGGTTGGTGATGGTACCCGACACTGGGCTACGACCTTTTTGCATTTGTGAATTCTGTGTCAATTTATTTATTTACATTTTCATTGAGAACTCGGGACTCGATTTAGACTTTTCCTTGAAGTTTAGACTTGTCTGCGAACCAGGTAGTGTCAGACTCTGGTGAGAACTGTTAATAGACTGGATGGACGGCAGGTCAACAGGACTGATCCCAATAACGTGATTTGTGGTCATGCACACCATCCACAGACTGTGTCAAACCTGCATTGGACAGAACTTCCCACAGGTGTGTCTTATATATATATATGAGTATATTTGTGTATATGTATGTATATATGTGCATATACGTATATATGTGTGTGTATATATATTTATAGATGTAGATATAATGTATATATGTATGTATAGAAATATATGACTATATATTTATATACGTGTGTATATATACGTATGTATGTGTATATATATATATAATATATATTTATATATACGTAAGTCAAATTTGTGACGTACAGCCATTTCTTTTTTTACGGATTGGACGTCAGAGAACAGTACAAGTAATAGATTCGTGGGCGGTTCACACATTATATTTATCTAATTGGTAAAGCAACAACACAAAGTAATATAAACCCGTACTTTATCAGTTGAAGTGTCTGTTTACCTCCACTGGTGGGTCAAACGTTAGTTCTGTTTGGTTTATTTCCATCTTTTTGTGACAGAAATCTGCCTTTCACTCCAAACCATCTGAACACTGGGCGACACATGCACGATATCGCCGTTCGAGTCTAAGTTAAACAGCAGAAAACACACATCCCCTGTGAGTGACAGAAGTATGGTGTCACTGACCGGGTTTTCTCTAGTTTCCCAGCAAATTCTCTGGAGTTTTCTCATTGTGTATGTATGAGTGTATGTGTGTGTGAGAAAGTGTTTTTCTAGTCCACCTGGTTGAGTAAATGTTTAATAACTCCTCCCTCTCGCTTTCCCTTTATGTGTGTGTGTGTGTGTGTGTAAACAAGAGAGAGAGTGGCAGAGATGAATGTTTTATATCCATGTGTATAAAAGTATAAACCAGCTAAAACTGTACTCCATCTCTGGGATGTGTGACTGGCCATGTGTGTGACAGGCCACCATCAATAATTCACACAGAGATTAAACTTGTAAGATTTTCTGAAAAACTCCTGCTGACAGGACAAGGTGTGCATGCAGACCCGTCGGTTTTCCTTCTCCGTTGCCGCTCTGTTAAACTCAAATCTGAAGTGTGTTCTCATGGAACCTTGAATTATTAGGACTGATCCTACAGAGAAATCCAAACACGGAGACAGTGTCTTGTCCAAATACCTTCACCCCGGCGTTAGCCTTCTCAGGCACAGATAGGGGTCTACGTTTCCTGGTAGGAGTTTTAATATCAGGCTGTCAGTAGGAACACGGGGACATTAAACTTCTTTTGTGGAGAAAAAACTCTCAGGACGAGTCGACCTTTTCCTCCGGAGTGTCGCTGTTTACAGAGTCATGGAAACCAGCACCCGTACTGACCTCCAGTCTGGATCTACCACAAACATCCTGACTAGGTCAACACAAAACTGTCAGACACAGCACCACCTACTGGTTCTGAATGGCACTTCACTTTTTGTTCACCCTGAGAAAAATGACACCTTGTGTTCAGATTGGTTCTACTGCACTGTTCAGTTTGTCCCAAGAGCCAGAGAGTTTTGGTGCTTTGTGTTCAACGCACGTCCAAGACAGGGAGTTGAACCAGCAGCCCTCAGGCTACAAAGACTACTGTATTTTCTGGAGTATAAGTCACGCTTTCTTTCATCCTTTGGTTGGGTTTGTGTCTTATTATACTCGTTCATTAGTTTCACACTGACAGCCACTAGAGGGCACTCTAAGCTTGCAAAGCAGTATCTGCTACTCCTGTACCACCGAAAATGAACATTTGTTATTTTCGCACCGCCAGAGGGCACTCTAGGCTTGTGTACCAGTATCTGCTACTCCTGTCAGTTGCACTGTTTTTCATCCTTTCACTTATACTTATGCTCTGGAGCAACTTATAGTCCGAAAAATATGGTACATTGATTTGTTCTTTAAAAAAAGCCGTGCTTTTTTTTTTTGTGCCAGGAAATTTTACCCACGCCTGTATATCCAGCTCACACTCTGCTCCGACTCTGTTCTCTGTAGGTGAACGTCATCCGAGGGTCAGATGGGTTCGGCTTCACGATCTGTTCTGACTGTCCCGTCAAAGTCCAAGCTGTTGACCCTGGTAAGAAACACACACACATCATGTCAACAACTGTGATAATGCACATGTAAAAATCCATGGGAAAGTTCACAGTACCTGCTGACTCATAAAAACCCAGGTCACAGAAGAGTCCTGGGATTGAGCTAAGCCGAGTCACAACCTCGGAGTAATGTCAGCGTGTGAAGTCAAATTTAATTGTTTGTTCCTTCCTCTTTTCTCAGGAGGTCCAGCTTATCAGTCTGGACTTCGCCAAGGAGACTCGGTCCTGCAGCTGAATGGACTTCCTGTCGAAACCTGGAAGTGTGTGGAACTTGCTCACGCCATTAGGTACACACGGCTTCCTCACATTTGTTTTATCGAGCTTCAGGTTCACTACAAGTCATAGGTCATAGGTTATTTTCCTAATCTAAAATAAAAACTTCTCTCTCTCTCTCTGTCTCTCTCTGTCTCTCTCTGTCTCTCTCTCTCTCTCTCTCTCTGTCTGTGTCTTTAGGAGCTGTCCATCTCATATTGTACTGGTGGTGTGGAGAGGTTTACCTGAACTCCGACCAGGAGGAGAAACTTTGCTCCGCCCCTCTACAAATAACGCAGTGAGTCTGAAACCCCTTTATAAAATCAGAAATAGAACAAAAATTTAACTTTAAGAAAAGATACTCAGTTTTACTTTTTCAAAAAATATCCTGGAAAGTGTTTGCATAATATTTTTATTTTTAAAATTCATTAAGCGGGCCGCACTGAACAACCTAATGGGCTGGTAATGGCCCGCGGGCCGTATGTTTGACACCCATGCTATAAAGTAATAACCTCTGTCTCCTAGTTAACAGGCAAGAAATTATGGCCTCAGCCCAACCAGAGCAAACAAGGTCGAAGATGGGGTCAAGGGTCAGTGGTCCGGTCCAGTCTGGCTGCTCTAGGGTCTCTGTGGAAGGACAGGAGGGAGGACCAGGAGGAGGAGGAGGAGGAGGAAGACGAGGAAGAAGCAAGGGAGATGGCGGAGTACTCCCAACGCACTACCACACTCAAAGGCACCCACGTGACATCATCAAATGGAGACAATTACATCATCCTGTCACCGGTCACGTCAGGAGAACAGGTGAGTTAGCCTAGCCTAGCGTAAGGTTCTCCTCAACGCTGCACACACCCCTATTTTTGTGACATTTGATCTTCAATTTGACCTTAATTACAACATACAGTAAAAATAGATCATACCAACTCCAATCCTCTCATTGATTTTTTTTAACTCAGAATAGAACCTCGACCACTTTCAGTTTCTTCTGTCTGATCTCAGTACAGATTGAAACTGAAAACTCACAATACTTGTAATCAAATATATAAAAAAATGTATTTCAAGTACTCAGATGTACCACTGGAAACATGATCCTGCAACTGTTTCTCTTTCAGCACCTCCATTCACTGTATCAAGACAGGAACGGGACTATCGGTATGCCCCCGGTGGTCATATTGATCATTACTGATATTACAGTAGTACACAGTATTTACTATAAATTCACCTTTGTGTACATGATCGCCAGGTCGTCTGTATCAGACTCACCCCTGCAGAGGGCAGAATATCCTCCGTGACAAACGACCCGGGGCATCATCAGGACAGTCGTACTCCAACCGCAACTCCACCCTGCCACCGCCCCTGTCTTCTTCCACCTCATCTGCAGCCAAGCCCAGCACCTATGGAAACTACCAGAACTGCACCATCGTCCAGTCCCATCTGCCCTGCGCCGGTTATGAAAGTTACGTCGCGCTTGCCCCGAAAACCGTCATCTTTCCCATCTTCGTCCAGGTGAGACAAAAAAAAATTTGTTTGAAACGAACCAGAATATCCAATCCTTTCATTGATCGTGATTAATCATGATTAATTGACTGGCCTAAACTAAAACTTAGATTTTGGTACATTTTCCGATGTTTGTTAATTTTAGCCTCTGGACCTGTGCAGCCCAGAACGAACACTGCTGATGTCGGAGGAGATGATACTCCATCAGGCCGACCTGCTGCCTGCAAAGGTAACAGTAGTAGAAACATCCAGACATACGTCAGTGTCATCAGCATAACTACAACCATGCTGTTAGTCTTTTATTATAAGAGAAATTTAATTTAATTTAACTTAATAAACATATAAAACGTTTTTTTTCTCCTCCT